TATATATATATATATATATATGTAGAAGCCGCAGGCAAGTCATTTAAAAATTCTTTACTTGCTTTCTGCATCAAAATTAATTACTGTGGCCCAATTCTGTTTTTTATTCTATGTAGATTTTTTAAGCATGTTTAAAAAAAATGTGTGTATATATATATATATATAAAATAAGCTTCATATAACATTATTCACTATCTCAAGTCTTTTTCTTATACAAGATACTATTTATTTATCTTTAATAAATTTATTTCTTTGCTTCTGGCAGAATATCAGCGATCTTGTGATAAAAATCTCATGGCAATGTATTTATGGCCATAAGAATATTCTACAGTTTCGTAATTCATATTTCAAATCCATAGACCAATTTATAACCTCTGAAAATGATCAAGAGTAAGTATTTATGTAAAAGCTCTTGTTATTTTTATTAAGAATGTTTTATAGAATAGAATAGAATTTATTACACTTCAGCATTTACGTAGCCAAGAAGGGGACTTGGTTTACAATAAATTCTTACCTCATTCATCCTTCCATACTTCATACGCGCTCTTATTTAACTATTTATTTTTACTTTCTACCTCTATCTTTATCTTTAGCATTGCCGATTTCTGATTATGACATATTTATCATCTTATGCCTATTTAAGTCAGTCTTATATTATCTTACTATGTTCTTATACTACTTATTCTATTTTCTATAACCTATGTCCTATTTCACAGCCATATCTTTTCACAGCCTTTCTTATCCTAAACAGTATCCCCACTCTACTCCCTATCTCTCTTTCTTTTTCCTCTTCTCAGTATTATTTCTTTATCTTTCCATAATTTCTTTATTATTTTGCCCTTACAATCGTCCAATTCCTCGCCCCATAACCTATCTATAACTTTTCCATTCGCTTCCCCTACATAGTGTACTATATTATCCCTACCTTTTCCACAGAATACACACTTCGTTTTATCCTCGTCTCCTGCTAACCAATATTTGTTTGCCTCCTCCATATTTCCACATCTCAGCCTAGCTAACGCCCTTACCTAATCTCCTTTCCTTATTAATTCCAATCTTTCTTCTTTCAAATACATCGGTCCTCTTTCCTTATCTCTAATCTCTTTGTATTTCTCATTATATCTAGCCTTTTCCAATCTACTATTCTCCCATTGAATCTGTACGTCCCTTTCCCTATTAATTAGCTCTTTCTCCAAACTAACTGTCCCGTTCTCCATTACTTCCGGGGCTTCTATTCCACCCATTCCTATTATAATCTCTCTCTCTCTCTCTCTCTCTCTCTCTCTCTCTCTCTCTCTTTCTCCTGTATCTATCTTCCCATCGGTATCCCTGCTTTTCCTCCTAGCATTCTCGTACTAATCTTCCTGTTAACTCTTTCTTTATCTTTTCCTCGTATCTTCTCGCTCTTATACCTCATCCCACTCTCATTTTGTCCATCACTAATTCCCTCATTATTAAATATCTAGGTGTACAAAAATCCAAACTAAAAATCCATCTTTATACATAGTCTAACATTATTTTCTCTAACACCTCTTTTTTCTCCCAACCCCATATTTCTACCCCATACGACATTACGCTCTGTACCAAATGTTTAAATAATACCCACTTTCTCTTAAAATCATTCCTACATATTCTTTCACCTAGACTCCACACTTTTCTTGCTGTCATCTTCCCTTTCCTTCCCATCTCTTTTATATGTTCCTTATAGTCTCCTCTTCTATTCAATACAAATCCTAAATATTTGAATTCCTCAACTTCCTCTATTTCTTTCCCCCCCCCCCATACCTATTTCTCTTTCTTTTCTCTGTCCTTCCTATTACCTACCATTATTTTCGTTTTTTCTGTACACAATTCTAGTTTTCTATCCCCCAAAAATCTCCTGAAAGTTCCCATTATATCTTGTAAAGCCTCTCTACTTTTGGCTGCCAATACAATATCGTCTGTGTATGCCAAGGACCAAATCCTATTCATACCTAATTTAACTCCTCCTATCCCTCTTTTCTCTAGCTCCTTATCTAAACTCGCAATGTACAAATTAAATAGAAGTGGATTCATTACACACCTTTGCCTCACACTTTTACTAGTCTTAAACTTCTCAGTATAGCCTTGCCTCGTTTTCACCTTCACTTCTGTGCTTTCATAGATCTTTCCCATCCTCTTCATCAGATTCTCACTTATCCCTTTCTTTCTTAGTATGTCTCATAGTCTGCTTCTATCCACCTTGTCGAAGGCTGCCTTCAAATCCGCGAACATCATATATATTATCCTTCCCTCCGTCTCCCTTTTACTATCTCTCTGCACCAGATGCGTCAGTACAAAGATGTTATCCATCGTCGTTCTTCCTTTTCTGAAACCTGCTTGACTTTCCGGCATCAATTCCTTTGCTACCACCTCCTTTTCTAGCCTGCTTCTTAATATGTCTGCATATACTTTATAAGCCATACACAAGAGTGAAATTCCCCTGTAATTTGTTACTTTCTCCTCGTCCCCTCTTTTGTGCAAAGGCACAACGATGCTTTCCTTCCATTCCTGTGGAATCGTACCTTCCCTCCATATCTTTTGCATTAGGTTCACCAGCTTCCTCCACAGCTTCTCCCGCGTATTTCCAAGTCTCCATTAGTATCCCATCCGTTCCTGCGCCTTTACTTTCATCTTATTTACAGCACTTCTTATTTCCTCCTCCTTCAACTCCTCTCCTTTCTTCTCTTTCCGTTGTTCTGTCTGTTGTTTGTCTTGTCCTCCTCTTCCATCCAATAACTCCATGAAATATCCTCTCCATTCATGTTTCCCTATGTTGGTCTCCTTCCATGTCCTCTTGCTTCTTTTCTTATTTATAAATTTCCATATATCCGCTTCCCTTTTCAGCTTTTTGTTCCTCTTCGATTCTTTTCTTTTTTCATTTTGTTTCTTCTTCATCAGGTCCTTAAACATTCTTTTCTCCTCCAAGCTCTTCTTATTTTTCCTTTTCTCCATCTCATGTACATCCTCTTCACTTCCCCCTTTTCTTCTTTGTGCAATTTTTATCCCACCAGTCCTTATATCCTATTTTCTTCCTTCTTTTTATTCTTTTTTTACTCAGGGCCTCTACCTGTTTGATCTCCTCCCATTCTTTCTCTGTCTTATACTCCTTGTCTTTCTTCTTTTCCTTCTCATTCAATTCTTCTGTTCTGGCTTTGAAGTTTCTTATCGCCTCCTCTGTCCATAATATAATCTCTTCTTCCGTTTCCTCTTCTTGTGTCCCACTTTGCTCTTCGTCCTTTCTCCTGTTTTTGCGTCTCCTTCTTCTTCTTCAATCTTTATACATAGAGGAAAGTGATCTGAATCCTCTCTTACATCAATTCTAAATTCTACGATCTTATCATATACATTTTCATTTACAATCGCATAACCAATTGCAGAACTACCTCTTACCCCTACATATATATATTCGCCTTCCCAATCTCCCGTAGTTCTACTATTTAGTATATGCCACCCATTTTCTATCACCTCCCTAACCATTGCTCTCCCTCCATTGCTTATACCTTTATCCTTGCTACTTCTATCCTTACCTCCCGCTTCTATCTCCTTACCTTCCCAATTTATCTATCCTTACATTAAAGTCCCCTCTTACTATTAAATCCTTTCCCCCATTTTCCTCTAACTTTATTCTTTTTAATTTTTCTTCCAAGTTTTTATCTCCTTGCTCTCCATATACCGAAATATCACTATCCTCGAATTCTCACCGTTCCATTCTGATATAATCATTCCTTGTTCTTGACTTTTAATTATCTCACTTCCGTTTTTCCCCCAATCCTTCCTTTTGCCTATTATAAAATCTCCTTTGACTCTACCTTTCTTTTTTTCTCTCTTAGCGAAGGTACATTTCCAGTTATGTGTTTTGGGTAATCTATTCCTTATTCTCTCCCACATTTTCTCCTCCACCCATGTTTCATTTAAGCTTATGAAATCAAAACTTCCTATATATCTCCAAAAATCCATATCCTTACCTCCCACGCCCCTACATTCCAAAAGAGAATCTTTCTCTGACTTTCTTTTAAAATGTTTTATATTTGATTCTTTATATATGCTTTTTCTTATAGTATCATCAGGTTTGATCAATTTTCTTATTCCATGTATTACGCCTATTTCAAATATTTATATACTGGCAAACTTGAGGTATCTCTGAAACAGAGATTTGGTGAGTTTGAGTTTAAATAGAGATCGTACAATTACTCCATCATTGCTTACAACTCACGACTAAAACTGTTTCGTTGCAGATCTACTGAAACTAGCTGATGAATTGAATGACAATAGATTCGAGGAAAGTTGCTGCAAAGCGATAAAGGAAGACATAATGGATGAAACTGTATTTTCTATTTACAATACAGCACAAAAGTATGACAGCAAAGTATGTAATTAGCAATCTCGTTTTTTTTATTCATAAATTTCATTAATAGCTGATTTCTTCGAAAAGAAAGTCACAATTTATAATGAAATTAGTATATTAATCAATTTAGGATACTTTTCTTGTTTCTATTACAGTAAAATATTAAAAAAAATTTTTTTAATGTTATATGGAGTGACGGGGGGGGGGG